GGGGCTTTTCCCCCTTCATACCCCTTTTTCTAGATAGTTGCTAAGCCCACTAAACTATGTTTCTGATAGACTCACACACAGCCCCAGCTCAGCAGACCCAGAGAGAGACCACTGCTACTGCAGTGGCAATGGCAGGCCAGACCCTGGGGCCTGACAGCTGTGTGTCCCTTCTACAAATCAGCTGAGCCCAGGCTGAAAGCTATGCCTGCTTTGCAGTAGATACAAGGACAAGGCCAGGCAGTCCCTGTGACAGCCTAAGGGCTGATGAGCATCCAATAGCCTCTCTTGACCCCACGCAAGGCGGGGGTTGTCCTCCTCCTGGAATCTGACACTCCAGGCTAGTCATGAGACTGGACAGAAGAGGGCAAAAGGAACACAAAATGAAAGCTTTTTCACTTGCCCTTCTCTTGGCTCAGAAGCAACCTCCCCACCCTTTCCCTCACGGGCAATCTTGGTGGTTCCTGACCTGATGTGTGTCCTTGCAGTGGGGTCCCCCCTGGGCCAGACTCCAAGCCTTTATCCCCTGACACTGAGGGTAAATGAATGACTACATTTCCCAAAAATAAAAGTCCCTATAAATCTGATATTTCGCTTTAAGCTGTATGGTACTCAGAGTGCTGGGGTTATTGATAGAAAAGTTTATGGATGGGCTGCATCTTAAAATCAAAACACATTACCCAAAATCAATGTTGCTGCACGTGGCGGGGAAAGGACAAGAAAGGTCAGCCAAGATAAGAATTTCGAAAACTCAACTCCAAGATGGAACATTAAAATAAATAAACCTCGCAAGTGACTCCAGGAGGCACAGCTAAGGCTGTGTTGAAGATGTTTTCAGAGATCACCATCGCCAGATCAGCACTGGCGAGGGCTTTTGCCCAGCTCACAGTCTAGCTACAACAGAGATAATTTATGCATGTGTGAAAGGGACTCAAGGCACTGTGGCCAGGTCTAGCAGGAACAAGCCAGGGACACAGCCAGTTCAAAGGCCACCAGGCGCGTTATGTGAGGTCCCTGCACACTGTCCCGGGCACTTCAGATCTGTGACTACAGAGAGAGGGAGGGACGGAAACCCTGCATTTCTTCACCATGAGCAATCATGGAGGGGAACCAAACATTCTCACACATCCATCACAGGAAACTGCTTCCTTCACACAAACAGGATGCCTGCCAGCAAGGCATCTCTGCAGGTGCTGGAGAGATGTTTGCAGTGGGTAGGGCTGAGTGGCTGTTCCCCTAGAGAGAATCAACACCTTAAAGAAGATACACACACACACTACCGCAGGTTCTCGCTTTAGGCCTCTGGTCCACCAGGAGGTATCTAACTCCCTTTTCAGAGTTAGTACCCAGGCCAGAACAAAATAAGAGTCCCAGAGTCCCTGCCGACCACCAGGAAATCCTAGCACAGGCGGCCAAGAGCCTCCCCAATGCTTCCAAATGTGTTCCTAGTTCATTACTTTGCCCTAGCACAGCTGGGTGCTAAAGGCAACCAGGAAGGTCCTGCTCTCCCCTCCAATATACATGGGCTCTATCAACATAGAGCTAAATACCTCGCTCTGCCCTTCTCAGAAGCTCCAGGTTTTCTTGTATTAGAAGAGAGTTGTGTAAGTTTTTGTTTTGTTGTTGTTTAAATAAAGAACCTAAAGTAAGACTGACCTGTGCTAAAGCCTCACTTGGCCACCTTCTAGCTGTGCGACCTTATGGAAGTTCTACAAGTTCTCTGAGCCTCAACCACCTCGTCTATAATATGGACTGAAACCACGTTGTCTAACTCAGACTCTGTGCTAGACCCCTGTGCTAAAAGCCAGAGATGCCCCAGTGACCAAAGCAGGCAAACGCTTTACAGACTTTAAGCTGGAAAGACAATAAGTAAAGACATTGAATCCTATGGTAAAAAGTGGTTTTTTAAAAGAAAAGAATGAAAGGACAAAGGAGTGCTGGGGGAGGCAGCCCCGGACTGCCGAGGCAAACATGAGTTAGAGGTGGATGAGCCTAGCGAAGAAAGTGACTTCTGGACAAAAACGAGAGCATGAGTATTTGGGAGAGGCTGGAGAGATGGCTCAGCGGTTAAGAGCACTGCCTGCTCTTCCAGAGGTCCTGCGCTCAAATTCCCAGCAGCCACATGGTGGCTCACAACCACCTGTAATGAGATCTGGTGCCCTCTTGAGGAAGAGACCTGGTCAATGGTTCTTATCAATTTAGACCATGAAACCCAGTATGGACAAGTTCATCAGAACCGCCATATATGGGCTGCCCACGCATGCTTCAGCATTGCCAGGACATAAATTTCATTTTCATTTCCTTCGCATCCCAGCTGAACCTGGGACAGTTGATGCAAACGCCGTGGGAGTGGGCCGAGTATGTTGCTTTGCAGGAGAAAGGACCTTGTTTAGGGAAGAGTGAGCCAGGGGAAGGACAGAAAGGAGGAGAAGGCAGAGGGAGGGGAAGGTAAAGGTTGAGAAGGCAATCGTTTAATCTTGGGAGGCCATTGGTATTTGTGCTGGGTGGAGTGGGAGCCACTGCAGACTTCTGAGGAGGTGAAGAATGATGTGATTTATGTTTGAGAAGGACCTCTCAGTTGTCATCCTGAGACCTGATGAGTAGAAAATGCAGCCCGTGTCTGTTGTGCAACAAAAGCACAGAATGGCAAGCAGCTATTACTATTATTCTACTATTATAACAACACCAATTTATGTCATAGGCAAAAAAAAATCCACTGGGGGAATAGGTGGAAAGAATCCACAAAACTTCAGAATGACCAAGGTCACTCCTCGCTGCAGGAATTCCCTCCAGGAAGCCTGGTAACAGGTCCCAATCCTGGACTGGCCCTGGTACTAGGAAAGAAGCTTACTACCTCACCAAACAAGCCAACGCATAGAGAGCTAGCTCATGCCATCAGATCCCTGCTTGGAATAAATTCCCCAACTGCCCCTGTAGAACCCTGCTATGCTCCTGCATCTGTGTAGCATGATACAAGTCTGCCCCCTCCCTTCAAAAGCTGAGGACAGCAAGGGGCGGGCCTGCAAGGTCTTGTATTCACAGACTTATCCTGGTTTCTGAGAACTGGAGGAATGAAGGGGGGAGGGGGTAAGAGGGGACGCCGGCCGATGCTGTAGAGGGAGTAGACTATGGGGACCTTGGAGGAAAGGTCTAGATGCTCTTCTGTTTGCAAGATTATCAGTGAGTGACCAGAGGGTGGAAATGACTCTTTGGTCATACGAGGAAGAGGAGGGGCAGAGGGATGCAGTACCCATGGTCTTCATTAGTGAGGACAAACTTTAGAAAGGGCTAACAACCTCTTCTCTGGGTTCCTGACCATTTTGTCTTAGACGAAGATGGCCATTGAGAAATTATTTCCCTTCTGGGTTCACCACGGGCAGAGACAGGAGGAGACTTACGCCAGCCTGCAGGGGAAGTTCCCTGGGATGAGCTAGCATAACTTCAGGTAAAGCTAAGGAGACCAGACCAGACCATTGGCTGGGGAATCCCAAATTCTGAGGAAAAGAAAGAGAAGAAGCCCAAGGAGAGCTCCAGAGCTCCCCGCTAAGCCATTGTGCCTGGACTGAACCACTCATCCACCCACACACCCCTTTAGGAAGGGAGACTGCACTCTCTAGGCGGCTGCGGAGATGGCCAGGGAATGTTCTGGGACACACAGGCTGCAAACGTGGGGGGATGGGCTGTGAACCCAACTGTGTATACCACCTCTGCCTCCTTCTGCGTGGAGTGGGGGGTTTGCAATATCTACAGATGGGGCAATGGCTGGGAAGAGCTTGCGAGGACACAGGGCCTGGCTCTCTCCGGGCAAAAAGACAATCCCCACCCAGAAACCTTGAGTCGTGCCCGGCGCTCCCCATTCCACCCCACCCGCACCGCCTCTGCCGTCACTCACGGCCGCTGCTTGCTAGCTCTCTGGTGCGCTCCGCGCCACAGGCACCTGCTAGCCGGGCTCTGGGCGCTGGGCGCTCAGTTCTGTTTCTCACACTGCGGACTCCTGGTCTTCACTGTCACCTGGCCTTGCTTCTGGCCGGACGCAGTGCTCCTCCCTTCTCGCAGTCCTCTGGCGCCCATCCACCCACCATGGCCCGGGTCTGGGCCAAAGAGTGGTGTGGCTCATGGCCCAAACCTGGGTAAGGAGTTGAGGCCCTAGGGGCTGCGGAGAGGCTGGGGGGGCGGGCACGGAAAGCAGGGTGGAGCAGCTCTCTCCAAGGATGGACACACTGGGAAGAAGCCAGGAGTTTGGGTGGGAAGACCCCCCTAAGCAAAACAGAGGCGGGTGGAGCTGCGCCGCAGCCAGAAAGACGGTGGTCGCTCCTAGTGACCCCGCGTAGGGATGGGGGCCAATGAGTGGGGGCGGGGCGGACTCGGAGGGGAGGGCGGGGGTGATGCCGCCAAGGAGGCTGCTCGCCGCCCAGCTACTGACCGCCCCCTCCCTTTTCTCCCCTCCCCCTCTCCCCGCCTCTCTCCGGCTGCGGGTCGGTCACACCGGACCGGCTCTCTCCGCGCTGCACTGGGTCGGACGCCAGGTCTGCGCGCCGCGGTTGAGCGCACACTCGCCTTGCGGAGAGCCGCTGAGAAACCGGCGGGGGCGGCGACGGGGGAGCTCGGCGGAGCCGGAGGAGGTGGCAGTCGGGAGGCCAGCCAGGAAACCGGGAGGCAGAAGCTGGTGGCTTTCAGGCACTCATCCCGTTCTCCAAGGATGGGTCCTGGCGCAGCCCGGCCACTGCCCGGCCCGCCTGGCAGAGACTGAACTGCGGACCCCCATTTTCCGTGAACCACCGGACCGAAGGAGGTACCGACTAAAGGACCCTCCTGGCACGACTTCGTCTCCTGCGCTCCCCCGCGCAGCGCCCCCCGCCAGACCCGCGCCTTGCCAGCCGGCTAGAAAGCCGGATTGATTGGCGGCAGGCGGCGGCCAGGGGAGGGGGCGCCGTGCGGGGCCATGGCAGGCTCCGAGGAGTCCTAGCCGGAGCTCGAGCCGGAGCCGAGCCCAAGCTGCTGCTGCCGCCGCCTCTCCGCGCCGGGCCCCCGCCGCCGCCGCAACCCTGCGGGAGATGGAACAGCGGAACCGGCTCGGCGCCCTCGGATACCTGCCGCCTCTGCTGCTTCACGGCCTGCTGCTCTTCGTCGCCGACGGTGAGCGCGGGAACTTCGCGACCGCGATGGGTTCAGGGGAATCTTTGCTGGGGCCACGAAAGTCTGCCTGCCGGCTTGGCCACAGTGGAGGAGAAAAGGAAGCGGCAAGCTTCACGGTCTCCAGCGATCCCCGGTGTGCACCCCAGGCTGGGAGTGGGTAGGGGCACGAGAGCAGATGAGGGTCGCCGCGGCTGTGGCGTCCGCTTAGGGAGTCTTTCGGTGGGCCCCCCACTAAGCAGAGGAGGCCTGCAGAGAGCGAAAGTTGGTGCGCCGCAGCCCGGGCTCCAGTGCTGCGGCCCTATCTGCCCTGCACCTTGCGCGACCCGGAGCGAAGCAGCCTGCAGCAAGTGGCGGGTCTCTGCTTCCGCCTAGCAGCTGCTCCCTGAACTTTGCTGGCGTCTCGCGCGCTGGGCCGCATAGTAGCTGGGGACAGGAGTGGGGGCAGCCCCAAGGCCGGAGAGCAGGAGATCAACCGTCTCAGCCTCGGGTTGTCCCAAGCCCCCGCCTTTCAGCTGGTCACGCCTCTCTCTCCCGCCCCCAGCAACATTCACCGAAGTCCCCAAAGATGTAACCGTGCGGGAGGGAGACGATATCGAAATGCCCTGCGCGTTCCGGGCCAGCGGAACCACCTCATACTCGCTGGAGATTCAGTGGTGGTACCTTAAGGAGCCTCCCCGGGAGCTGTTACACGAGCTGGCACTCAGCGTGCCAGGAGCCCGGAGCAAGGTAACCCGTTGCCCAAGAGGCACCCGTGCTTACCCTGCTCCCTCCAGGAGAAGTGAGGGTTACTCTTACAGGGCGCCGCCCTGTCGCGCAGCCACCACCCATCCTCTGCATCTCCACAGCATCGTCAAAGTCGGCGGCTGTCCCCAGAGGCTGTCTGTTCTTAACATTGCTTCCTTCTCTGTAACCTCAGGGAACTCCCTTCATGCCCAGCCATTGAAAACCCACACCTGATCCAATTTGGCGGCTCAGGCTCGCTAGCTCTGGGACTGTACTCTGATGGGTGCTGACTGAAGAAAGATCACTTGGTTCTATTGGTCTTTCCTCCGCCACCCAAGGCGTTAGGGCTCAAGGCCAGGGGGTTCAGCTCTCCAGATTGCATTTACATGGTAGAGAGAACACGGTATCTGAGAACGGGTATCTGAGGAGCTGACCCACCCTCAGTGGCTGGAAAATCTTGCAGTCTGCCCCATAACTCATACTCGCACTCCGGTACTCACCCACACCCACAGTGTCCCGGGATCACACTCAGAGTTCCTGTTCTCATTTTCCTCTGGCACGTATTCACACATACCAGGCTGCCAAGGCCTCGGTGATGCTGGACCCTCCATCCAGTTTGTCACAGTTTCAAATTAAGTGGAGGGTTTAGAGGAAATGAGTAGGAGAAAAGACTCCATCCTTTGCACGCTCCTGGCCATCCAGTACCCACTCTGGACAGCAGACAGGCGTGTGTCAGGGCAGCCACTGCTTAGGCAAACAAGGTGTTAGCCCCAAACCTGCTCCTCTCTGGTACACTGCGGGAATCCTAATGTATCTGGTGCCCTCCACCATGCCACACCCCACGCAGTTAAACTCCCAGCCCACCTGCAGAAAGTCTCATTGTCAAAGACAGATCAGAGTTTCCCCGTGCACAAATGCCACCTGCTTAATCAATCTCTCTCTCCCTCCCTCTCTCTCCCCCTCCCTCTCTTTCCTCTCTCTCCCCCTCCTCTTCTCTTCCCCCCCCCCTCCTGCATTTTAGGTAACAAATAAGGATGCAACTAAAATCAGCGTAAGTGTGGAGCCCAGCATGGGCCGCGGGAGACCCCTTCTGGCCGCTTTGCACTCCTCAGCTCCCTCCCCTTTAGAAAACCTTTGAGGCCAAGCAATGTGAGCTTTGCTACCACAGGGAAGCACTGTGGGCTACTTGGCGTTTCTGGGCGCCATCTGTCGCTAGTAGAGGAATTAGGTTGTCTTTTGTGTAAATCAAGGGTCCAAATCCGAGTCCCCAAACCCCGCAACAGTAAACTCACCCTTTGCATAGGCTCCTGGCATGCACCTGCTCTTGACTTCTTGGCTGTCATTTCTTCCAAGACCTCGAGTGTGGCTCCTTGCTCAGACTGCTTGTGGCTCCCACTTCCCATCCCCTTCTGCCTCACCCTGCACATGCACCAGGCCCTCTAGAAGCACCCTCTGCTCGACCATCTCCTCTTCTACGGACAGCATAGTTGTGGGCTTCTGGGGGCTGTTTCTTATGCAGCGAGGATGTGTAGGGTCTGTGGCACTGGAGATTGGAAGTAGCAGGGCCTGAAAACAAGCCTCTTTGCAGACCCAGTTGAGAGGTGAGGGGTTGTGCCTGTATTTGATGAATCTTAAGATTTCCACCAAGCCAGGAGGACTTTTTCAGGGCTCTTAACAAGTGCTCAGTCTTAAGCAAGGCAAGGGCTAACTGTAAATTACAGGGCAGGGGATGTGTAGTTGTGCATGCTACAGGCAAGATGGACATACCCCAGGCTCTCTGGATTCTAAGTAAAAGTGAGCGTGATTTCGGGTATATGTAGGATGTCCCAGAGCAGTTAGGCTGGGCATTAAGGTGCAGGAAGGATGTGGATGGTTCGCCAAAGAGAGCCCCAGTCTGAAATTTTTTGCAAATTATGGAGAGTTATACGTTCTGAAGGGGAAATGTGGGAAACCCTAAGAAAGAGTAAATGTGAGGTGAGACCGCTAGGAATTGGAGACCAACACAGTGCACACGCAACACAGTGTCTAGGCAGAACTAAGAGCCCGTTGCCACCAGTTGAGATGTATTGAGGTATTAGGAAATATTGGGATGTTGTGGCAATTGGGATCCTATTGGCACAGTGATAGGGGAACCAAGATCCCCAGTCACCAAAGCAAATGTGGAGCTCACTGGTCAGGCCTCTAACCAGGCTGTCTTACAGACCGTGCGTGTCCAGGGCAATGACATCTCGCACCGCCTTCGGTTGTCTGCTGTACGACTGCAGGACGAAGGAGTTTATGAGTGCCGTGTGTCGGACTACAGCGACGACGACACTCAGGAACACAAGGCCCAGGCTTTGCTGCGCGTGCTGTCTCGGTTCGCACCGCCCAACATGCAGGCTGCTGAGGCAGTGTCCCACATCCAGAGCAGTGGCCCGCGGCGACACGGAGCCCCCAGCGCTGTCAGCTCCAGCAATGCAGGCACCGCTGTCCGCACCACCTCTGAACCCGGGTACAGCGACAAAAACCCACCTCCTGGGAGCCCTCCCTCAAGACCAGAAGTTCCGGAGGCAGCCGCGGCTGCTGCCGCTGCCTCTGCGACCCACACAGTCACCACCACTGCTGCAGCAGCTGCTGCTGCTTCATCAGCTTCATCACCATCAGACCAGGCTTTCCTTCTGCGCCAGAGGCACGGTTCCGGTAAGAGCGGGCCCCAGAGGGGTCGTGTACACTCGGGAGAGCGGGAAGAAGGGAGGGGACCGGCTAGGACATTGTCGGATAGTCTTATCGCAGCGGCAGTTGTATGTGCGGGGCGGTGGGCGGAGGGGGCGCAGTGGGCGCCTTTCTTGTGTTCTCTGGGCATTTTCTCAGTCCTGATTCCTAGCCCGTTGGAGCATCCTACCAAGTATATTCATGACTGTGTAGGCTGCCCTGTCTGGCTCTGAGGCTGGATTGTAAAGGCATTCTGTCTTGGGCAGCGTTGGGAGCTGTATACTCAGACCCTCAGGTTTTGAAAGGTGTTTCCCAGGTGGGGTACTGGCTCCTTTTGATCGAGGAAGAAAATAGTAGAAGCAGGCATTTTGTCTTTGCTGATTGGTGGCATTGAACTGTCCTTTAAGGTCCAGGAAGTTCGGCTGTGTAGCCTTTGCTCAGTGGTTTCTAGGTGTGGCCTTATACCCGGCTGTAAATTCTGTATGTACCCAAGACTTCCAGTTCTCCTTGGTTCCAGAGGGAAGAGAGTTGAAGATGGAGCACTGTACCCGTTATAAAAGCATACAGAGGCTGATACCCACTTTCCTAGGGAGCTAAAGTCTGGGGAGGTAAGGAGCTGAAGTTAGGCGTTGTCAAACTAGAAATCAGAAAAAGGAACTGCTGCCCTGGTATTGGGCCCCTGGAGGATGTTGGATAGCGGTAGTGAGGGTTTAGCATGCCCAGAAAAGCTATAACTACTGTGCCAGGTACCTCTTCTCCCAAGATGCCTCCCTCTCCAACCAAACTCAGCCGGTGCTCCAGTGCTCGCTCCTAGTGTCTAATTTTAAATAATTCACCCCTGGTCTGAACCCCTCGTCTCAGTCTTTGCAGTGCATATTTCCCATGAAGGGAATCTCTACTGGTATTACAGCATGAAAGTCTAGGGGAGTCGTAGAGCTCTGATGGGTTGGGACACACTGTCGTGCCCCAGGTTGGCTATTCTGGGGCTCCTGGACTGTCGTCACTGAATCTGAGGCAACAGGACTCACATCACTTTTTATCCTACCCTCTTGCTGATCCTTAAGCCCTTGAACATTTGGAAGCGGCTGGTCCGTTCTGAGCATCAGTTCAGCCTTGTTTTCCCTTACTTATTTTTCCTGTGGGAGACTGTTCTGTGTTTCCCCCTTCCTTGGGAAACTGCTTTGTGTGTGTGTGTGTGTGTGTGTGTGTCCCTCCTGAGAGCCTTGCTATGACTGTTCTGTATCTCCCCCAAGGGATTCTGTTCTGTGACACAAACATACACCACACACACACACACACACACACACACACACGCACACTCCAACAGTATCTTATTCTGTTCTGTGTCTCATCTTCCCTGTGTGAATCTACCGTGTCTCTCCTCTGGGAGACATAACCGTGCCCCCATTATTTGTGAGGGATTTTGTCACTTTTAGCTCCAGGGACCTATAAGAACTCTTCCAGGCCCTGGGAAAGATGGGTCATCTTCAAAGAAGTCTCAGCTCTCCTGTTTAACGTGGGATGCTGTACCGTCTGTATAAATTTAAAGTGCTATGACAAAAATACCAAAATGTCAGTAGCTCAAACACAATCCAAATTCATGGTCTTTGTTGTATCCTATCTTGTTCTGGGGTGGGAACAGCATATTCTGTTCAGTCATTCAGAAACCCTGGCTGGCAGACTGTATTAGCTCCAGCAAGTAGCTCCAAAAATCTCTCTGGGAAGCACCATATAGCAGCATGTAAGCGTGTGGGGAATAGAGATAGAAATGGCCCTTCGACCCAGTTCTAGGAGAGAATGGAACCCTAAGGCTATAATGTATGCATGGTGCATAGTGAATTCACTTATTTCCTGTATATTTAGAATGACTCTATGTGTGTAGTATTTGTGAGAAGCTGAAGAAGGTGTCTCTCAAACCATTCTGTAGTGCTCCATTTTTTTTTTCTGAGAAAAATCATTCAGGAATGGCAAGTTGGGTTTCTAAGGACCAGGCCTAGAGGTGGTAGACATCACATCTCCCCGCCCCCAATTCACTGACCACATAGATGCAAGTCTTTGGGGGAAATGTACTGGTTGTCTTGACAACTACTTTCCAGCTTCATCTCTGTGCAGTGTAAGAGGGCACAATTTTTGAAAGAACTGAAAGTCTCTATGTAGCATTCACTGGGTGTCTTAAGAAAGTGTTCATTGACTTATGCTATGATTGGCTTAATTGCTGCTGATTAAAAGACCCTCTGCCCTTTCCCCTCGGAAAGTAGGAAATAAATATATGTGGTAGACTGGAGAAAACCTCTGGAATGTTCCCCAGAGCAGTGACAAAAGAGATAACATGAAAGTCCAGATAAGAGTTAGGTTTGTGCCATCTAAGCTTCATGTGTTGTGTCATTTGGTAAGTGGTTTAGCATCTCTGTAAAATGGACAGTGTTAGGTCTGACGCTGGGAACTTCAGTGTGTACGTGTTCATCATCATTACTGTGGCCTTAACTGCTCTGGATGGATAGGAGAAAATGAGCAAGCTGACAGCTGGAGACCAAGCTGTAGAGGGACCTTAAGAGATGAGTGTCACCAACAGGGTTGATTGGAGACTTTGACCCAGGAAGTACCATGTACTAGAGAGTCATGAGAGTGATCTTGGCCACACCCATAAAATTGTAATGAGACCAAGGTTGTGAGCTCATTCCTGTTGGAAACCCCTTTTCTTTTGTTCGTACCTGGCCCTTGAGAGCTACTACACTGGCCTTGAGAACCAAGCACGGCCAGTCTGTGTTGGATGAGTTCATCCACTGGAGTTGGATGTAGCAACCAGGTTGGGATTTATGTTTGTCTTTCTTGTGGGGACAGCCGTTTTCAGTACCATTCAGAAAGCACAGGCAGCTGGGCTCCCTGTAGGCCAGATAGTGCGGTACCATTGCACTGTCTGGCTCTTGTTATTTCTATCACCCAGTAACCTTTGCCAGCTTCTACACAGGCCAAGAAGTAGCATATCTCAGACCAAGCCCTGGTTTCTCTCCAGCTCCCTATTGAAGATGAAACATGGTCAGATGAAGTCAGTAAACCTGTGCACTTCCCCCATCCCTGTGCCCTCTCTTAGGGGAGTCACTTAGTTGTAGGTACCCACTCTGAGTCTGGAGAAGTGGTACATGTGACCTCTAATATGCAAATGCACCTAACAGCTTTGATTCCAAGGAGGGAACCACTCCCAGTGGGTGAAGTTGAAACATTTAGCATGTTTGCATGGTGGGTATTAACCTTTCTGCAAGACTTTCCTAGGCTCATGGCCAGCTCTGGGTCCCCAGGGAGGCAGCAGGTTCAGGGATATCTCAGAACTTCCAACAGCAGGAGACCACAGCATGTTCTGAGCCTGTCTCCCCAGCTCCTTTCCAGTGTGCAGATCTAAGCCAGAGAGGCCCATTGCTCTTGGCTAACAGGCAGACATGTTTATAGTGCTTCTCAGTCAGGATGCTGGCAGAGCAGATGGCACAGTCATGCAGAGTCACTGAGGGGCATTGGCACAGGGTAGTTAGGAAGACAGAAGCAGGGTTAGGCCAGCCAGCATAGGAAGGTTGTAAGTCCCCAGAACTGGCAGCAACAGGAGCTGTTAGTGTCCATGGAATACAGATTGGGGGTGACTAGTGGAAGGGGAGCTGGGATGAGATTGGCAGCAGTCAGAGCAGCTGGTGGACAATGTTCCATGATCAATTCTGTAGTCTCAAGGTCTCAATGGAGGGACTCAGTTGGCTTTCCATGACCCCACAAGGACCTCATTCCCCTGTTGCATGTTTCTGGCCTCCTATTAGCCAAACCCTTTTGAAAGCCAAGGACAAGGGCATCTGGAGGAAGCAGTCTAGAGAGGTAAGCCCCAGATCTTAGAGCTCAGTGAAGAAGGTCAAATGGAGGATCCAGGGGACTGGAAGTGTCACCCCAGCCTTGGTGTAGTACATCCTAACCCTTTCAGATCAACAACTTCAAGAGAGTGGCCCCGGCCCCTTCTCCACATGGTGTCATACACAGTTGATCCTAAAAGACCTTCCATGCCTGTATTTGTGAAGTGAGCTATTTCAGCACTGCCAGGAAGAAGATACAGGACAGCTTGCTCAAAGCATTACCACATTGCCCCTTTCCTAGTCGTCAGCCAAGAAAGGAAACCTCTTCTCTACTCACCCATGCGCAGCATGGCCGTGTATGTATTTACACTAAAAGTTTGTTTAAAAAACTCATTCGTTTCATGTCTCGTTCGTCAAGAGACGTTTTAGTACATACACTTAAAAGTAGTCATGATTGAGTTAGCAAAGCAGATCAGGCAGAGAGGGCTGTGTCTGTTCCTCACAGTGTGAGCCAGCCTGGCTACTCATGTGAATGCTGATCCACTCTCATGAATTCTTAGCTGCTGGTTGCCATTGGGGGAGACAGAGTATCTTCCAAACACTTCTAATGGAGGAAGGGCACCAAGGAATCCAGTCCAGCCTCAAAAAACAATATAGCCGACAGCAGAAAGACTTCCATGTTGGCAAGATGTTTCCTTCTGTGGGGAACTTGGGATCTGACTGCGGTGAGCGAACCTCTAACTAGCCTCAGGGCTCCAGTACCAAGGAGAAGCACCACAACCCCGGGATGGCTGTGTCTGGATGCAGAGAACTAGATGCTTCCAATATCTATCTCTTTTTTTTTTCCCCAATATTTCAATTAATGGTGAGAAGACAGTTAAGGCCATGGGTGTGACTGTGGTGTTCTGTGGTGGAGAGGCTGTTTCTGCTGGGAGCCATGGGAGGGTACATCCTTGGGTGTTGCCATGGCAACCATAAACCATGACCAAAGGGGACGGTGACTGAAGTAAAACCACTCACTCTGCCTTAACCTGTGCCCTGGGTAGATGACAAAACTGGCACAGTGGCACCAGGGTGGTGCTGGAGAGTCAAAATGCTGCAGAATCCCGTCACAACAGCAAGGCTAGGAACCCTGGGCCCAGAAGGACTTGTAGACCACTGTAA